TAGAAACACCTACAAAAATATAGATAAATCAATAAATAAATCAGTTTTCGGAAAAGAGGTTTTACAGCTTTTGTCAGAATTGCAGTGGATACAGGGTAGCACTTTGAGTTGATACACCATAAACTTGTTTGTTATTTTATTTGTTTGTTTGTAATATCGGGCGGAAACGGTGATCGTTATTGTGGTGGTGCTGTTACAGTCGCTGTTGTTGTTATTGTTGTTGTTGTTGTTGTTGTTGTTGTTGCTGTTGCTGTTGCTGTTGTTTGTTTTTGTTGTTGTTGTTGTTGTTGATGCAGATACTGAATTATTCTGTCGATACAAGGGTAAAATTATTCGATGTGGCACTGACTTCCTTCATGAAAAGATTTACATAAGCGGTGAGAGTCTGTTCACCTTCCTTCTAACTTCTAACGGACCGGCTGCTAGACTTTGTCTCCCACGTCCATTTCATAATTACAAGTAAAATGAACTGCGCGCCCATAATAGTACATGTATGACCGTATGCAGTTGTGAGCACCGTTAAACTTTTACCAAACTGAAAACTAAAATGAGCTGGGTGCAACTGGGAAGAACGTGAGAGTTCAGAAAGGTACAGAGATAACAGGTCTCTTTGAAGGCACGATGACCGGTAACATTCGATTTACTAGCCCCTGGAAGAAAGGAAACATTTCTTTTTGCACACACAAAATATTGCGTAAGCACACACGTCCGTCTATCTATCTGGCTGTCTGTCTGAATGCGAGAGTGCATGTGTACGTGCATATATATATATATATATATTATAGTGTTTATGCGTATGTGTGGAGTGAGGAGGGGAGGGGGGGGGATATGTGCATGTTTGTGTATGTGTTAGTACGTGTATGTATTTGTGTGTCTGTGTGTGTCTGTGTGTGTATGTGTGTAAATATATCGTGTGTGCGTGTGTATGTGCGTGCGTGCGTGTGTGTGTGTGTGTGTGTGTGTATGTGTGTGTGTGTGTGTGTGTGTAAGTACGTGTGTGTGTGAGTATGTGTGTATACGTGTGCGCGTGCGTGTGTGTGTGAGTGTATGTGTGTATGTGTGTGTTTGTGTGTGTGTTTGTGTGTGTGTGTGTGCATGTGTATTCATGGGTATGTGTACATATCATGGATGTGTGTTATGTGGTTGAAGGTATCGTGTGTGTGTGTGTGTGTGTGTGTGTGTGTGTGTGTGTATGTGTGCGTGTGTGTGTGTGTAAGTACGTGTGTGTGAGTATGTGTGTATGCGTGTGCGCGTGCGTGTGTGTGAGTGTATGTGTGTATGTGTGTGTTTTTGTGTGTGTGCATGTGTGTGTGCATGTGTATTCATGGGTATGTGTACATATCATGAATGTGTGTTATGTGAATGAAGGTATCGTGTGTGTGTGTGTGTGTGTGTGTGTGTGTGTGTGTGTATGTGTGCGTGTGTGTGTGTGTAAGTACGTGTGTGTGAGTATGTGTGTATGCGTGTGCGCGTGCGTGTGTGTGAGTGTATGTGTGTATGTGTGTGTTTTTGTGTGTGTGCATGTGTGTGTGCATGTGTATTCATGGGTATGTGTACATATCATGAATGTGTGTTATGTGGTTGAAGGTATCGTGTGTGTGTGTGTGTGTGTGTGTGTGTGTGTGTGTGTGTGTGTGTGTGTGTATGTGTGTGTGTGCGCGCGCGTGCGCCCGCGTGTGTGTGTGTGTGCATGAATGTGTGTGCACGCGCATGTGAAATGGGGAAAGAGTATCTGATTCTGTCATTAAAGCACGTGTAGGAAAGACAGAATGTGTTGACTTTCCGAAAGCATTGCAAGAACAGAATATTATCCTATCTCGCAAGAGGCCAAACGGCCGGTTTTGAGTTGTTTTCTTATTTTATTTTTTATTGTCGATGTTTTTATACCCCATCGCCCAAATTTAAATCATTTAGAAGGCAGGCTTCAAGCCTTGGCTATCAGCGGAAACTCGGGCTGAATGGGATACAGCATCCCAGCAGAAATAGCGAGTTACTTGGGGGAAAATCATCTCCACTCGGGAATCGAACTCAGGTTTTGTGCGAGCAACAGCAAAGCATCTAATTGCTACACCCCTGGCGACGTCCAAAACTGCGGGAGAGAAGCTGAAAGAGGAGTAAATGAATATCTGTTTTGTTTGTTTGTTTGTTTTGGGTGTTTTTGTTTTTTTTAGAAAGTGTGGGAAAACCGAGGGAAAAGCAAACAGGAAATAGAGTGGAGTACAGTCTTTCTGTGTGTGTTTCTGGGTG